GGCATGCAGCTTTAGTGTTAGGCTACGAATCCTTTTACAAGAGTGTTTCTATGGTCTATTTTCATTGAAAAGCATGAAAGCAAATAAAGTTGGGTCATCTATTTGGTATTTTACATGATAAAAAATACATTGTGCAAAATACTTGATATTGTGGTGAATTGTTACAAGGATATTGTCCTCACACACGGAAGTTTGCTACCATCGTTGGATCTTCTTTGGGAAATTTACTTTGGAAAATTTAACATGTTTCATGTATGGACATTAGTTCTCTGTTACCTGACCTCAAAGCAAAATGCATGATTTCAATGTTTGTGTTGTGCTTGATGGGTGTGTTCACATGCATCGTGGGGCAATGGGCTGGATACTATATATGTTTGATTAATTTATAAATTGAGTCAGCTCAATTTTTTTGTGAAACAATGCAGGCAAACACAGTTTATGGAGCTTTACATGGGCTTCAGGTTAGTGCATTAAGTTTATAAAGCTTTCTTGTATTTTGTTATTATTAAAAATTTCAAAATTCCTAACATATTTTTGTTATTGATTATTGCAGACATTCAGCCAGTTATGCCATTTTAACTATAAAAGTAGACTGATTGAAGTTCATATGTCACCTTGGACTATTACTGATCAGCCAAGATTCTCTTATCGAGGCCTCTTAATTGGTGAGCTGCTGTTTACGTTCCCCTTCTATCATTCTATGACGTCTTTAAGTGATTGGTCACATGGATTTCCTTGGAAAATGTGATGATTATTGCACAATCAGTGAGTTGTTGTTCTCTGGTAACTATTATAATTGTACTTCTACTTGAATCACAAGGAAGCAATCAAGGAGTTAAGTGGGTGTATTTGTTTTAGCAATCAGCCCTTAAAACTTATATTGCATGTTATTTTGGTACCAATTTTGAACATTTTACATCTTCAGTAGCCAGAATGGTGAAGGGTTTTGTTGATAGTAATTAAACAGTTGATCTGCATAAAGTTGATTACAGGATAGGGGGACCAGTTTTCTAATGATATTGGTTTTTGGAATTGGCTGCGCACTGGGCTGGTAATCTGATTGTTTGACTTTGTAAGGTCCTTTTCTTTAATGTGTTCTTGACTGAAATTAATATCTTGCAGATACATCCCGTCACTATCTTCCTTTGCCTGTCATTAAGAATGTTATTGATTCCATGACCTATGCAAAGCTGGTATGTAATACAATCCCAACAATTATGTACTTCTATTTTCTCTATCATAGTCAGCATCCCTTTGCACTCTGCATAATGAGTACATATGGCATTGCTTTTGAATTCCTTTGTTTTGAAGTATGAGTCATTGTTCATTTTATGATTATGACTTTATTTTCAACAAAGGCCCTAATCCTTCATATATATGACTAATTATAATCTGTCCATCTTCCTATGATTTCTCTCTTAAGAAAGCATCAAAATGGAGTTGTACGCATAAGCATGAGCCATCTACTGTACAACTTTGTTTAACCAGGATAACACTCCAACTCAATGAAGGAGCTCAAATTTAGCCAAAATAACCTTTTTTTCTTTTTCATACAGGTAGGAAAGGTTGAAATATATGGACTTATCTTAAAAGCTAACTGGAATGATATTGTTGGTATGCATAAAGTAGGCCCAAGGGCATCATGTAGTTGGTAATTATTTACTAGAATCAGCTGCCTTTCTAGAGGTGAGGTAAAATTGGAAGTTTTTAGAGTACATTCCTAAGGCACGTTGAGAGGTGAGGAAAAATTTCTTTCCTAGAGATTTTTGTGTTTTGGAGCATAGATTCTTAATCATGTGGATATCATCGTGATTTTGTATCTTCGTGTCATCCCAGCAAGCTTTTGCATTCATAATTGACTACTGACGATGTTATTTCAGGTTAACCAGATTCCCTATTTATTAGTGCCATATTTTGTTTGATGAAATTGAATCCTCGTATTCTGAGACAATGATGCCTTTAACTTGACATTTATCTTGATGCTTGCCTTCTTACCTGCTGTTGATATTATCCAACCAGTCTTTTTTTTTTTTAATCCAAGTATAGTTAAAATTCCTCCTATTTTTACTTGCAGTTGCAGACATTTTCTAACATCATTGTACACTCATATGCAATAATATTTTCTGCTTGCTTTCACACAGAATGTATTGCATTGGCACATTGTAGATACCCAATCTTTCCCATTGGAGATACCTTCATATCCAAAGTTGTGGAATGGTGCTTATTCAGCCTCAGAACGATATACAATAGCTGATGCTGCTGAAATTGTGAGGCAAGTGCTTTTGCTACTTGGTTGCACTGAAAGAATACTTATTTTCCTCATACTTCTTTTGTTCCTGATATGGTGGTTATCAACTGTTGCAGTTATGCCCAAAAACGAGGGATTAATGTAATGGCTGAATTGGATGTCCCTGGGCATGCACTCTCCTGGTAGTACTAATTTTTCTAGTCATAAAGCAGTGTTAAATTTTGTTGTTGGTGCATAGACTTCCTATATAGTAGATGGAAATGTTCAATTCTGGAGAAAATATTACTTTTGTTCATGGTCGTTGTTCCTTGGTATTTTTCACTTGCACAGTTGTACTCCTCAAGATGATCTGTCCATCAGTGGTAATAGTAACTAAAATTAGAGATTTTTTCCCATCATTCAATAGATTGTGAACTTGTTTTTCTTATTCTTTAGGGGGGTCGGCTATCCTGCTTTATGGCCATCAAATGACTGTCAGCAGCCACTTGATGTCAGTAATGAATTCACTTTTCAAGTGATAGATGGAATTCTTTCAGGTGATCTC